TTAACAACTAAATTGAAATTATTTATTTTCTTTTAATTATCAGATATATGTGCATGGGATATATATGTGCATGGCAGTCATATCTTTTGACTAAAATTAATAGGAATTAGCAGTAGTCATTAATTGAAGAGTTAATTTGCTTTAATTGCATGGTTGAAGTGGTTATTTGCGTTTTTTAAATTTAGGGGCATATTTGCAAAAATGGGGCAAGTTTGAGGGCTTAAGGAATTGTTTTGCCAAAAAAAAAAAAAAAACTAATGAGATCTCCCCATTCAATCCCAGCAAGAAAACATGCAAAATGAAATGGTTAAATGTCATAGTTTGGGCCCTCAACTTTAGGTTATGCATAATTTTTGTCATTTAATTCTTTTATACTTTTTTTAGTCCTTCAACTATGAAAAATACACTTTTTTTAGTCTTTACATCAATTAATCCATTAAATTTGTTTATATATATACATTTTTAATCTTTGTACTTTTAAATTGAAGAATAAAAAATGTGTGTATATTATAAGTTGAGAAATTAAAATATACATATTTAGATAGATTTAACGAATTAACTGATAGAAGGATTAAAAAAAAATTTTATAATTGAGAGACCAAAAAGGTACATGAAAAGATTGAGAGATAAAAATTATACAAAACTTTAAAGTTTCGAAATTGACATTTATGTCTAAAGCAAAATTAAAGTTAAAATAATAAGAAAATAAAAATTAAAAAAAGAAAAAGTAAAAATGGGCCGAACGGTGGGTGCAGCAGTAAACTGGAGGCTCAAACGGTAAATCAAATAATGGGCCTCCATGCCAATGCCAAATGACGGCCCAAAAAGGTAATGCCAAATTACATTAGGAACTACCGATTGACATTTTTACCGTACCATTGCTGCGATCACCGGTACGATTTTTCCATACCAAATCCAATATTATTTCTGACAGATGAAAAATTAAAAGTTATAGGTACCCTTTGTCCTGGAATCCATAGGTTACTATAACATCCAACATGGTAATATATATACATATTATTGATTATAATTCAAATACTAGTTTTTAAACAGCAACACACAACACAACTATAAATAAAATACAATGCAGTACTAAATAAATTAATAGGAGATTTTCAAATTAAACAGAAAATCAAAAAAAAAAAAAAGAAAAAAAGAACACTCTTGAATTATATTTGACAGACAATTTCATGAAGTGGCTCAGATGACCTCCAACCCGCCAAGGAATCCCTGTGAAGGAGTTAATCCCAAGTAATTGATCAACAACCAAACCAAGGTGAGAAGTTGTCCGCCTCTGCTTACTTGTCGTGCATGGACAATGGGTTGGCAATGAATAGCAGCATAGCATAATATTTCTACCCAAAATTTGCTCATTAAGTTCCACGGGCAACCACCGGGCTGGTATTGGAGGAGCTCCATGGCAAGAAAACCTGCAACGGTTATTCTTCGAAAGCGAGCTATGCTATCCTTTTCATAGGAGGTTAACTTGTCCACATCTTTCTTCAACAGATCTAGATCTATATGACCCGTTTTAGCTTCGTCTTCCAATTGCTCATCCAGCTTATCGAGATCTTTAATTGATGTTTCTTTGGATTCCTCCTCCCAATAACGTGGCCGCCACTTCCATGTTACATCTGTTTCATCTTCGCCCTCAAAAACTATCTTCAAATTGTTAGGCGAGGTAGCTGTCATGGTAGGCTCCATTACCAAAAGGTAAAACATATAATCTGAAATCAACTTACATATTTTTCGATGATCAAAACAATTAGTAGATGTAGAAGTAGAACTGCTGGAGCTGTTATCTGGACATCCTTTTCCGTAGCAGATTTCAGTGGCTATGTGCCATATCAGAAGGCTTTCCATGTACTCAAACCTGTCGAGGGTCCAAGCGAAGTTGGTAATATCACCGGTGAGAATTCTAGATGGACCAAAGATTTCCTTGCCAGCCTCGCCAATATACTTTCCTTGTAGCATTGTAAATATGAACTTCCAAGCTTGTTCTTCTTCAAAAATTTTGAGGGACACACACTGGATCCTTCTTCTTATGCTTTCAAACAAACTGCTTGTGCCAAGAAAATAAAACAATTTGTTTGAATAATATCCATCTTTATTCTCGAAATGACAAGCAAAAATATTTAATTGGGGAACTAAATTCGACCACCTGCGCCTTATAATGAATTCATCATAATTCTTTCTGGAAGTGTACTTCCTAATGATAATCCAATCAGAGAACATAAGTAACCAGATGGATATCAAATCCAATGCCAATGCCCCAATCAGCAACCCATATGTCAGGCAGATGTCAAACTCCCCCAACTTATTATGGTAGTACTTTTTAAGTAATACTGAGAATGACACCAAGGCTCCCAAGATGCAACCAAAGTAAACCGTGCGGCAAATATAACCAATCTTGGAATCAACTACGGGCAACTTGGTATGAAGGAGCTCATACAAGAGGCTTAATTGGATCTCTATGGTTC